CCACTGTCACTGTTTCCAGCCATGCAGAAATGTCTTCAGCTGTTTGTAACAAGCTGTAATTACAAGCCTTGCTCCTTAGGCCACTTCTCTTTCAATATTTCAGTAGCCAGCGATAAAAGTGATATTGTCATAATGTTAAGTGTATACAGTTTGGTGATTCCCTGGAGGTTGTTCATCCACCATTTCTCGATGCACTGTTAACTAAGAAACTTCAAAATTGAATTAGTCACTACTTATTAATCCGCCCACCATATGACACTGTTCCGTCAAAGACTTCGTAATTAAGGTTCTTTGAAGTAAGAATGTTTTAATAAATCAGTCTATTAATATTATATGATTTGCGTATGCCAACCCATATGCATGTTTTATACAGTTCACTATGCGTATTTATTCGTCAGTGTGGTGGTTCCAGACCGGCTTCGTCTCAAGTACCAGAAAAAACTTGCACTAGATCATGATGTTCCCAGTTTATTAATTTGTCTTTGTTTGCTCTTACTGGGTACAGGGAACGACCCGTTCTTCAAGTGCCTGAGCACTGCGGGTCCCAACTTTTCGTTGACTTCATCTATAGACATTCGGTAGGACTCCTTGGACGAGGGATCGGCCCGTCGCAAGGCCTCTACCTGTACACAGGACAGCACAACACAACATCCATGGCTTGAGTGGGATTCGAACCCATGGTCCCAGCGATAAGCGGCACAAGGCCCACGACTCAGACCGCGCGGCCACTGCGGAACCCTTGTTTGCTCTTAGGAATACGAAGTCTCAGTTTGGCTTAGTGAAGAACACCTTCTGGGCTTATCCATGTCCGTCTGTCTATCGCGCTTTTCCTACCGGGGCAGGCATCGTGCATAACCGGGGGTCACCAGTCTCAGGCCCGGTCAAAGGAACTATAAAACACTGGCAATGTTAGCACAGACCTCCAACCGCGTGCGCTACTCCTACACGAAAAATTTAACATTTCGTAGATGTGGGCTGTCGGTTTGAGGTCTTCCCCTTCCTCCCTCGTGTTTATTTGAAACTTTCTCAAGCACTGTAAAATGGTGGTTCAC